AGGGAGGAGTTGGGCAAGTGAAAGGAAAATGTGGTTCCATGTTACAGTGTGAGACTGACTTCTTCATAGCATTTAAATTTCAGCTCACCATTCAGTTATTTGCAGCCTTGAAAGCAAAACAAAGGTCTGAGTTAAACTATAGAAATAACACTTCATTAAGGAATACTTCTGCCTCTGAAGCATGCTGAAGTACTATGTGATAACACAAGTGGCAACTGTCCACTAGAACTAGGAGACAAAAATCTGAGAATGCTTAGAAAGACATGGAGGATCTCAGCACATGGATAAGTCCTGAGTACTACAGCTGGAGCTTCTCTGTAATACAGTGGTCCCAGTCCTGGGTTTACCCATCACAGAAGCTTTGGCTGAACCCACAGTGCTTATGCAAACAACGGAACTGCTTTCTGTATTTCAAGTATGGTTCAGGAAAGCACCTTCCACCAGTGCTTAAAGAACCATCTGGATATATATATATATATATATACACACCTAAGGAGGTAGGGTGCCTGGAGTTACAGTTCAACATTTAGATATTGATTTGCTTTCTCCAAGCTTGTATTGCAAAGTCATATTTGCATGCCCTCCTTTGCCAGGGATGTGGTCCTAAATATACACAGGATTGCTTTTTCCTTGACAGTCAGGTGATTGTGGACAGTGCCAAGCTAAGGTTCTCTCTGTGGCTCCCTTACATGGACCACCTGGGCCAACTAGCAAAGGCAGGATCCCAGTCTCTTTTCTCACCAGTTTTCTCCATGCCTTTCCTTGCAGTTAAATTTTTATGACTTATGGGAGATTTTTGGGTCCTTTCTTAAGGAAACATTGTTGGCTTTTCTTTGATATTACCTCTTGACCTTGCAGAAGGGACAGAGGGGTCGATATTGGGATGCCAGTTGTATCAGTCAGAGAAGTCAGACTTGAAAAGGCTTCTAGGGCTGTCACAAATAATCACCTTCTAATCATACAGAGCTTCCCAGCTCTTCTGTGCTGGAACAATCTTCATGGCCAACTAACAGGGCCTCACCTTCCAGTAACGGTGCCATGCTGCCGCTTTTTCTGCTCCGTTTAGGGGGTGCCATAGAATATTAATCCAAACATACTTCTCCTTCAACTCTCAGCAGCATCAATATTTTCTTCTCAGATGAGCTGCTTTCATGGATCTCCTGTGAGACACTTCCCTAATTCAAAGCTTTTTGGCTGTTTCTCAGCTCAGGATACTAATTGTGCTTGAGATGAAAAACAAGCACATTTGGCAGTGCTAAATGAAACTAACATTAGTATGTGCTTCTAGTGAGACATTTTGGCATGGGACACACACAAAAGTTAAATTATCACCATGATAAACACAGCAGTAAGAAAGAAGATTTGTTTCTTGTGTTTGTCTTAAAGACAAGTGCAATTTAATATTTTCTTCCTCTACACTTTGTTTTGACAATGTTTCTCAAATACCTTTAATTTTCAAAACATAATTATTTCAGCAATCCTAGACCTAGTCTGGAAAACATTTTGTTCTGATTATACTGGAAACAGAACATCTGAAGTATCACCAAACCACTCACTGTGAACGTATCACTCAGAAAACCATGTGTGTCTGTTTTTTTCTTTTTTTGAGACTATTAATGGAAGGCTTCACTGAATTTATGTACAGTTGTTCTTCTTGCAGTAAGAGATAGCAATAATTTAAGATTTTAAAAATAAATGCAAATTTCTCTAATGTCATCCTATGCAGAAGATATTTGCTTCTTTTTTGCTCCCCAAAAATGTATCACTATACTCTCACACACAGCATGGATGTCTTAAATCAGATCAAAGTTCCAGTACTGGACATTGTTCCAGTAACAACCTCCCTGTAAATGGCTCAAATAGACCCTCCTAGTGAGAGGTAACTGGAGCTGAATTCTGCAGCACACCTTTTCCTTTTGAGACATTCTACACAAAGAATTACCTGACACATTTCTCAAAAAAACCCTTAGCAAAATAAAAGTGATTTGGAATTCTGTTCTGAAAGTTTAGTATTCGAGAACAACTTTAAGGCTGCCCTGAGCCTACCAGACTGATTAAAAATGCTAATCAGAAGCTTGTATGATTAGGAGATTAGTACTGTCTGAACTTTGATCTGCCTCATTTGTGTACACAGGAAAGGGAGAGACACACACCATCACACTGAGAACTGCTTTCACAGCAGCAGATTTCTCCTCTGTAAGGAATTCACAAAGGCACTCCTCACTGTTTTGGTCCTTGTTGCTTGTTTTCAGTGGTTCACAGGAAAGGCCACAGGATTTGTATAGTCACTAACTGTTAACTTTAGACCAGACAACTTTATAACAGCCAAGAAAAGGAAAAGTTCTGTGTCAAAACAGGCAATATTGTAACTGCATTCCTGATACTAACCATGTGCTTTCGTTTGATCCATGTGATTTTCATAGGATCTAACAGAATTATGAAAATCCCTCACATGTGAAACTCAGGACTTCTAACAATAGTAAACAACACATTGACACAAATATGGAGTATCTGTGAATGAGAGCCTCAACTCCAGACACAACCTCAGTTGTTGCAAACTTGTAATTGCATGTCTTAATATCAGTACCTCTTCAGATCAGGGGTTTCATGGCTTTGAAAATATCTTTAGTGTAAAGAGTAAATAAGTAAATAAACACAGTAAACATAAAAATCACAAGCAACTTTCATCAGTTGTGGGAAGAGACTCAACCATTAGAACAGCTTATTTGAAGCCCTTATAAATGAAGAATGGTCAGGCATTGGAATGAGCTGCCCTGGGAAGTGGTGGAATCACAAACCCTGGAAGTGTTCAAAAAATGTGTAGGTAAGAACTGATGATTTTACAGGCCTTTTACAATCTTAATGATTCTATTATTCTAAGCAGATTATAAACTTATTTTACTGAAAATCAAACAAATCTCTGCAATCTCCTCCAGTGTCACCATCCTTATATTGCTAGATAAAATCTTAATACAGAAAACTACAATCTTGTCAGCACTGCAACTCTCATTAAACACACACAAAGGGGATGGCAGATTAATATTTGCCTTGCCACTTTGAGTGGATGGAGAGGCCTTAATCCCAGAAAAGAGGTGATGGAAAACCATGTGAAGAATTAGCTCCCATCTATTACAACAGCTGTTAGGGTATAAAGAGGCGTCTCTACTGACATGGCCAACAAATACCTTCAGTGGAGCTTAAAGATCTTCAATGAAAAAAAAACAATTCCACTATAAAGGTGCTGATCTAAAGACCTTCTGTTGCCTTTATCCAGCTTCCATTGCCTCTGTGTCTAATTAGCCAGTAAATTCTTTTGGTCAGGGATAGCTTTCACTGTTCTGGGTTCGACTTTGAGATTTTCTATCTGGCCATGGAGAGAAATCAAGAGACATAACCTGATTTGCAATCTTCTCTATTACCTTTTTGTGTAGTAGGTAAGAGATCTCACAGTTACTGTTTCTCTCTCAGCAGCTATAAAGGGAATGAAAAAGAGGAGACTGGAGCATGTCTCAGTGTTGTTCTTCTAACACATTTTGCTGCTTTAATGTAAATCACAAAGTCAAAAACCCACCAGAGCCCAGATGCCCATGGAGCTTGGACAGTTAAGAAACACAAGTTTCTGTAGCTACGTGCATGTAAAGAAGCAACAACGCCACCACCAAAACTCCTCTTTGGCTCTCCAGCTCAAGTAATGCCTTTTGCACTTGAGACAATTGGCCATCTTCAGCATGAATCCAGAGCAATTTCACATGCAGTGTGTACCAGAGCATCCTGAGCATTGTGCCTCTGCATCTTACTATAGTGAATAGAATTCACAAGCAAAAACAGAAAACACATTTGAACAATGGGAAAACAGAGAATTGGTGATATTTTATTAGTGATAATTTGTTTATGTGGGCTATTTGTATTATAATTATGAAACCATGACAAACAATACCAGATACCTGTTGTATTTTCTGAAGAATATAGACAATGATCCAGAGGGAGCCACCTGAAAGGCCTTCTGTTGCAAACCAAATCAAAAGGAAGATCAGGTGAGTTAATCCCGTTTTGTCTACATGTGTTTCCTCATGTGTTTCTGTGATGAATACAGAACCGATGGGTGCGCTATCCGAGGAAGTTCCCACGACTCATTGGCTAACAGTAACCACTTAATTAATGTAAACATACAATTTTAGTTAAAAAAAAAAAAAGGAATAAAATCGCGGTGGCACAGCATAGAACTAACCACCATTTCACAAAATGGGTCATTAATTTGTCATCCTAAACACCCCGCGTTCGTTGCAGCGCAAAGAAGCGCCATTCTCCCCACGGAAGCCCATCTTGAAGCGCATCTCCTGAGACAGGTGGAAGAGCCCCGAGCCATCGGTGCTCCTGACCAGCCCCGGGGCGCTGCTCGCGTTCCAGCACGCTGCGGCCCCTCAGAAGACCCGGCCCCGGCCCCGGCCCGCGCCTCTGCCCCGCGGCACCTACCGCTGCCCGCTCCCCTCCGCGCTGGGACGCCAAGCGCGACACCGAGAGCCGGGCATTCCTGCGCCGGGCAGGGGAAAGGATTAATTTCGCCACTTAATTCCGTCCCCCCGGCCCGGCGGTGGGGGAGGGAACATGCGCGTTGCTATGGGTGCCGGAGGAGCACCCAGAAAGTTGCGGGAGAGGGGCGGGGAGAAGGCGCCGAGCCGCCCGCCGGGGCCGAGAGCCCGCCCGGCACCGCGCTGAGAGCCCGCCGGCGGCTGCTGTCACCGCGGCGGCTGAGCCGCCCACCTGCCGCCTACGGCTGGCGGCGGGGGAGGGAGGCAGGAGAGGGATAAACTTCAAACTTGGCCGGGCGGGTAGGGAGCCGCATGGATGTGCCCGTCCCTCGGCGCTGACTCGCAGCCCGCGGCGCGCTGCGGGGCGGCCGCTGCCCGGGGAGCGCGGAGCGCCGCCGCGCCGCTCCCTCCGCCGCCGGCCATGGGGCGCGGGGCGCAGCCCGGCCCCTGAGCGCGCCGCCTCCCCCCGCTCCGGGCTGCCGCCGCCTCCCCGCCCGCCGCCACCTGCCTCTCCCTCCGCTGCGCCGCTGCCGACCTGAGGCCCTGGCTGTCGGCTTCTCTTCGCGCTGCAGCCCGACCGAAATGGAGCCGTCCGCGGGAAGCCGCCGGGAGTGATCCCCGCTTTCCCACCGACCCACTGGCCGCCCCCTCGGCGCCCGCGCTCGCTCCGATGGAGCTGGAGGAGACGCCGCTCGCCCCTCCGAAGACCATGCTGGTTATGCTGAGGAAAGTTCGCAAGAGGCGGGAGATGCTGCTGCAGCAGCTGGGCTTCATCTGCGCCATCCTCTTCTTCGCCTGGTGCATGTCCAGCCTGCTCTCCCGCGCGGGTGAGTGGCGGCGGCGGGACCGGCGGACCCCGGCAGGGCCGGCCGGAGCGGCCCGGGGGCTGCAGCCGCCCCGGGGCTGCCGGGGTTTGGCGGGGTCAAGCGGCGGTGATTGTTCCCGTTTGGGGTCTCCCTCTGGAAATGCCCCGGCGAGCGGGCGAGGAGGGGGAGCAGCGCGGGTTCCTCGGGAGAAATCCCCGCGCCGGGCGGATGCGCGGCTGCAGCCCGGGGTGAGAGGGAAGCTGCCCGGGCACGGGGGAAGCTGCCCGGGCACGGGGGGAAGCTGCCCGGGCACGGGGGGAGCTGCCCGGGCACGGGGGGAAGCTGCCCGGGCACGGGGGGAAGCTGTCCGGGCACGGGGGGAAGCTGCCCGGGCACGGGGGAAGCTGCGCCGCTGGCGCCTGCTCGTCCGGCGCTCCCCGGCGCCGAGCCCGCCGCGCCCCTCGGGTCGGGAGCCGACAGGGCATCACAGGGCAGCTCTGTGCCTGCGAACGGCCCTGAAGGAGTTTCCCCCTGCTGTTACATCAGGGAGGAGTTCTCTCCAGCCGCCTGTGGTCCCCCCTACAACTTCGGGATGCCTTTCGTTTTGTCCTTAGGCTGTAAATCTCCATCAGCTATAGCTGCTTATTTTCTCAATTTCACACGCACCCCCAACACCTCTCCCCTGTTACAGTATAGATTTGACAGAAAATTCTGAGTGTTAGGCTAGGAACGGTGCTAATCCTACATTTTATAGAGAGAGTATTATAACAGAGTCTTTTGCATCATTTGTGTATGTGCTGTATTGGTAAACTGGTGCATTTATAATTAACTATTTATTTCTCATTTGTTCCTCTGCCTGCTGGCACAGCTTGGGCTATATGCAGCTTCAGGCCCTCATCCTAAAATATGCTTCACATCCTTCAAATACAAAATCTAAGGTTGCTGGGACAGCACTTGAGTCTCTAGGTAGGGCTGCCAACGGTCCTCAAAGATTTAAGAACAAAATTGACTAAGTCCATCACTAAGCATCTACATTTAATGTTAGAAACTCAGATTTCAGCACAGTTAGGATGGGTCATGTGCTTAAATTAAAGCTGAAGTTCAAGGGTGTGCTTTAGGGAAAAAAAGTCTGCTGGAACTTGTCATAGTTTGTAATGCTCTTGTGCTCAAATTATTGCCTGGCTTGTTTGAGCTGTATCTAGGATGGCAACAAGCCATCCATGTAAGAATTTGGTGTCTTAGACCATATTAACATATTGCTCATCTTAAAACTTTCAACTAGGAAACAAGTAATGGGGGCATGAATATGTTTCCATAGCTTGAAGGATTTTTTTTGTTGCAGTTGCTGTTTTCCACAACTTTTTTAGGTTTTCATGAAAAATGTCATGACTAATGAAAGTTTTTAATCTCCCAGGTTATCAACTAAATCCCTCATAACCTAATTTTTGATAGTATGCTGCATCAGGTAGGTTTTTTTTCCCCCAGCTGGCTAATTTACAGTACATATTATCTATAAACACTGACCATCTGTTGTCTATGTTTCTTATCATTGTGGCTCAGAATATTTTATTCTGGAAAAACTAACTTCTGAACAAGATTTCTTTTTTTCCAGGAGTCACTAAGAAAACACAGGCATTACATGAAGACAATATAAACTCTAAAATTGGCCAAGGAAGAAGTTTTGTTATTATAATGTATTCATTTGAAATGGATAAGATTGAGGTGGAAGGGATTTAAATAAGGGATTCTATTCTTTCTTTGATTATTTTAATTGCATACAGCACATACGCAAGTGCTCCTGTACTCTATTTAACAGGTCTTCTTGAGAATGCTTCTGAAATATCCATTGACTTCTAAAAAAGTTTTGATTTTTTTAAGACTTATGAGAATTCATTGTGATTTCCATTTTCTTTGACAAGTTATGAATGGTTTGATATTATTAAGCATACCCAAGACTGAAAAGTTCAGAATAAACTAAAATGTAACTGGAACATATCCATATGCATTTTTATTTTTTTTCATGAAAGCAGTAATATAATATGTGTAAGTACAGATGACTAAATGGAAGTGTGATTTTTGCTCATGTCAGCATAGCTGGGCTGGTTTCATCTATAGGAGCTGCAAGTGTTGACTTTCACAGGTACAGGCTTCAGCATTTGCTTGCTGCAGAATATTTTCCTGCTGTGGGTCACAGCCAAGTGTTCCGATAGCTCCGATAGCCAGAACATACCAACAGCTCGGATATGGAGCCTGGGTGCACACTTTGGAGCTAGGAGCACCTAGCACATGGCTGTTGGCATGTGCTTCAGTCACACCTTGGATTTTGCCCTCTTTGCATTCTGATGGTCTGTCCGTGCTCCTTGTTAGTGGGCACGTGTAGTCCAACTGGGGTGATGCAAAAAAAAAATTGGTACTAGTGGACATAATGTATTTTTATTTACTATAGGCCAAGAATCAGCTGTTGCAGACAGAAGCATTGTATCAGGAATATGGAGGAATAGAAAGTTGATGGCATCACCTAACGGGACACATGAAGAGAAGAACTGTACAGAGCCAGGTAAGATGGGAATACTTTGTAATGTCTTATAAACTCTTGAGATGTATTGGGTAGTTTTGTCATGACCAAGCTGCAGTGATATGTAAACATCAGTGTTAAACTTCAAAAACCCCAACAAACCAACACTATTCTGTGTAGAAATAAGGTTTATTGTGTTACATAATGACATGTTTTTATGTATCAAAGGCAAACGGTAATGTTCAGATAAAAGCATCTTTAGGGTCATTGTGAGATAATGCTGACAATTCAATTTCTGTATCTTTGTTCTGTGGTGATTATTCATTTCTGTCCAGCTGATATGTGTGCATTGCACAAGTCATGAGAGGTGTGCTCCTTTTAAAACTATGGGTAGCTAAATATGCAGCGTTTTAGATGACATCTGAGCTCAGTGATTTGTGTTCATTACTGTTACACAGTTAATCATGGTTTGCTAGTTTAGTGATAAACTATGTATTCAGAGTAGGAATTTATGTTGTGTGGAGGAGGTTGATAAGGTAAGTGATATGGAAACCCTGGAATCCATTTTAGTTCAGGATGTCTATCTCGGCCAAGCAAAAAGAATTGATTGAGGGCAGGAATAGATGATGCATTTTAGTATCAGTGTTAGTTCACAATGCTTTCATCTTCCCATCTGTCTTTCCAGTATCTGTATTTCCTTTCTCTCTCCTTGCCTCTCTGTAGTTTATGGTGTGTGGGAGATGAGACATTTTGCCAATGGCACTAGCCAAGTTAATTTAAAGTTCAGATTTATTTTTTTTAATGTGACTCTTTGATAAACTCTGTGGTAGCAATGGAGTGTGTGCCTTCTCACCAACAGTGTCAACTTGAGTTCTGGGATGCTGCTGGCCCCAGGTACTAGAAGAGTTTGGAATAGTGTTCCTGGCCTCACTTACATGTTTGTTGTGATACTGAGGTGCCAGTTCTATAGGATCACTAGTGTGCTTACACATTCCTGAGAGAGGAATGGAAGAACATAGCTCAAAGTATGTGCATCCAAAAGTTTTAGCTGTATCCTCTTGACGTCCAAGAGCTTCTCCATGCTTTTGTTAAGAACTTTGTGGGCTGGTTTACTGTGTTCTGTATCTGTAACATTATGATGCTCTTGATCTGTCTGTCAAAGTTGTTAGCAAACAAGAAAGAATATGAAAAGGACCTTTTGGAAACCCATAATGATTCTTGATGAATAGTTGGAAAATACTAATCTTTCCCACTCCTCTTTCATTTTCCTCCATATATGTGGATGCATCAATGTGATCATGTCTGAGCACATACTTGTCAGGACACTTGGAGTCAAGGCAGTGGAGGCCACAAAATTATAGAAGCTAGATCAGAAAGATACCTGTCAAAGTTCTGGTGGAGACTTCTATTTAGCATGAATGAGAACTTTTTCACAATGATATGATAAAACGACCAAGGCAAAAACATGCTTGCAGGTGAATTGGAATTCCAGAAGCAATACTGACTTCTGCACATGTTCAAAACAAATAGTTCAGCTTCCTCCATTCTTCTAAAGTCATAACATTAGTTTAAGAACAATTGAAATAGATAAATACAGCTGGGTAATTTCTGAAATTCAGGTCTCTGAGGTGCCCTTTTCTCCTTAACCACAAGAGATGGACACAAGGGAGGCCCAAATATGCCTCAGGATATTGAGGTTTAAGAAAAGTATCACAAAACTTGCATTAAATTAAGTATTTCTAGTCACAGTAATGGTAGTAGCCTTTCTTTTAAAAAGTGTTTCTCCAGTTAGAACACAGATTTACAGATCAAATCTGTCACAGGATTGCAGTTGTAGCATTTTTAATCACTTCCTGTTATTCTGCAGTTCTGTACTGCTTATCACTGTGTATCTTCTGCAGCTGAAAGGGGAATTGAGATGCTGTGGGAGTGACTAGATGTAAGCTGCAAATAAGGGGAACATCTGAACATAGTTGAAGCTGGTGTTTGTGGGGCTGGAGTGAGTCCGTAAGAGCTCATTATTGTTATTGCTTCTGTAGATTGGGGTAGTGTTCTTTGTTGGCTTTGTTTTTTGTTATTTTCTTTTTCAGTGTATGTGATGTTGACTTGCTTTTTTTCTATTTATTTTTTTATTCTTGTCTGGTAGCCGGGGATTGAGATTTGTCATATAACAAGAAGATAGCAATGAAGGAACACCTACCAAAAAAGTAGCAAGTAATATAGCTCATCTCTGTGAGAATGTAGCTTGTGTAATCACATGACTACAGAGAGAGAAGTCCCAGGAAAGGTCAAGAGACTTGGCGGAGATTGCATAGAAGATTGGCGAGAGAGTGGATTTTCAGCTGACTCCCTGTGGGCTCCTTTATGAGATGTACTTACTCTCACCTATGTCATTTCTGTGGCTGCTCTAAGCATGAGGGGCTGTACAGATGCATGGCTGTGTGTATGGTATACTGCAGTTTTCTTTTGTTGTGTGGATGTTTTTATATGTGTGTTTAGGATACAAGAATTTCATAGTACCTTGAGAAATGCAGGTTCTTGCTGAGAGCCTTTTAATCCCTTGTGTTATTGCTGTGCTCCCATTTCATTAGCATCCCACACAAATCTTCAGCTTTACCTCCCTTTTTCCAAAGGCTTTCAATGAAGTTAATATATTTACCACTTCACTCAATTTTCCTACTTATGTGTAAGTGGAAAAAATAAAAATCCCAATCTTTAGATATGGCAGCTATAGAAGTTTATAAGACCATGAGATCCCTGCACTTCATGGCACTGGCAAGAAAGGCTCATCCTTTGTAACATACATGGGAATAAAAATTCCATAAGCTTCTAGAAGTAATGTTAGAAGCTTGTGAGAGCTGCTATCTTCTAGCATCTCACATAGTCTACACTGTTTCAGGTTAGTCTCATTTGCTGAAGTGAATAATTTTGTATTGTGTTCTTCTGGAAACATTGATAATGTTTCTGGGGCATTTTATCAAAGAGGAAAAATTCTTGAGTCTCAGCAATGCTGCTTTAAAAAGAACCAGGGGAGTCTGAAAGAGGACAAGAAAATACATATATGTGTGTGTATATAACTAGAAAAGAAAAGTTGGGGTTTTTGTATCATAGAAATTATAATCATAAGAGCTGAATATCTTAAGAGGTGCTCTACATTTTTTCTGATAGTAAGTAATATTCTGCAATCATGAAGAGTTATGGATTGTCTTTATCCCATAGCAGCGAAGGAACTGTAGGTCAGCTGCAGGAAGGAGGTAGAGCCTTGGGAGCACCAAGCCAGCCTTGGTTCTAGTCTGAACTGAGACCAAATCCTCACCACAGTTAACGTGTTCTGTAGCATTTTTCTATTAAAGACCATTCCTGGCTTTAAACTTCCCCATTGTTGAAAGCTTCTCTGCTTTGGTAAGATACTGATCTTTGTATTATCCTGGAGGCTGGAGGGCTCATAGATTGTATGTAGAAGGCTTTGGACTTCAGAAATTTCATAAAAGCCTGGGATTTTTGAATTAGGAATCTTATATTTATTTGGTATTGAATAACTCTCTGGATGGCTTCCTCTTGGAAAGAAACCAAGCTACCTTTTCTTCATGGCTCTGGGTAGATTTCTGTGGGAGGAGGAGTTGACCTGACCCTCACTTAAAGCAGAGAGATCAGAAAACAGGAGTAGTTGTTTCTAGCATCTTAACATACCTCATTAGTTTGCAACCGATTTTTTTGCCGTATCCAAGCTCTCACTTCCATCTGCCATCAGCTTGCTAGCTTGCAGTGCCATCTGCCCAGAAAGTCTCATTTGTAGTTTCTCTGCTCCAATGGCTTGCTTCTTGTTTCAAGATGTTCCTATGACTCCATGTCCTCCAGAACTCCAAGTAATGTTTCCAGGGCACATACGAGGTGGGGTGACTGGGTGTCATGATGTTTCTTACCACGTGCCTTCACTGGGGCATGTCAGGCTGTTAAACAACTGATCCAGACTCTTTGCTGTTGTGAATATTTTCAAGTAATCTCTGTATATGGGTAGAATTTTTTTTTTCCCTGTGAATTAGAAGTGGGAATATATTTCCATTGTCTTCTGACACTAGTTAGGGAGCGGCCTTGAAACCGAAAGGCAGTGGGGTTTTCTTGCCTGTGGTTTGTCAGCCATGGACAGTTCATCAGCTACACTGATTTTAAATATGTTCAGGTGTGTTCCTTCCATTGCTGTTAGTGGGTAAAGATGAATTGTGGGCTGGGGGAAATAGAAGGTTAACATTTCTTCCTGAGCCATTCTACGTTCAGTTTAGCATTAAAAGGCATGTTGTAGCAATGCTTTGTGTAGCTGCAGTGAGAGAGAAAGAATCAGTCCTCTACAGTAAAGTGTGTTTCCCAGTAGCATATGTATAAATGAGTTCTGAGTCAGGATCAAAGTCATTAAGTCTGTGTATATTTTACACTGTTAGTTAAAACCTTGGGGACTCATGTAAGATGTCATGCATTGTAGAGAAACCATAGAAGTCTTATACAGTTTGGTTAGCATACCATAGAGAGAGCAAGAGCCTGGTATTTTTTTCTACAAAAATCAATGATGACTAGAGAAGACAGGACTGACTCTTCCAAGCAATTTTCCAAAGGGGCAGAAACTATTATTTCTTGTACACTTGTAGTAATGACACTATAGGAACTATTGATTTGCATTAGTTGTATTTAACAAACACAGTGCTTATTTAAATGCACAATTCTTAACATGCTGGATTAGTGTATCCTTTTTTCCCTTAATCTTTATAGACACCTTAATGTATAAGATCATAAATTTAGCCTAATAAAGGCTGCTGGAATATGTAATTTTGTGCTGATATAAGTTTTCTTTAAATAATGTATGTATTTCCTTTAAACAATGTGCTCATGATCTTCCTTAGATTAAACTTCCATTTTGTAGCAGGGATAAATGCCTCAGACCTCCACTTTTAAGGATGTAGTAGTAGTATTTTCACTGTAAACCTTAGTTTCATGAACAGCTTAAATTAGTAAGCTCAGCATGACCTGCATGTGCTCTTACTATGCATTCA